CCCCTCTCAGTCTAAGAGAGGTGATTTTGAACATTGTTTTCAAGGGAAGTGGATTTTGTTCTGAGCCATACTTTCACGGCAAGATTGTTTCTTTCATTGCAGGACATTCCATATCTTTGGCCTTCACTCACCAAATACCGTAAGACAACCCCTTAATCCTTGTGACAACCAAAAAACACCATTACCATTTTGTTTCCAAACACCCTCTTGGGAAATGGCACCGCTCTTGGTTGAGATACGTTTTTAGCATCAATTTGCACTCTGGCCTTGAAAATGTGCTTTGGAAACATACAACCATGTCTTTTGCCAGAAGCCACAAAGGCCAGGCATAAGCCCCTTTACATAAAGAGAGTGAAAGAATCCTTAGACATGATCATTGCATACAGCTTCTGTTAAAAACTGGGCTCCTTGTCTGTGTAATAACTGGGGAAACAAATTTAAAAGAGTTTCCTAAGATCACTCATTAGGTAATAGGCTATGTTGACTCTACAAATAAAATCCCTTAAGAACCCAGCATCCTAGTGTACCTTAGTAACGTGCATCATGATTATATCAATGTCATTGTTGGCCATTTATTGATGGCTGGCGACATACCAGCACCTTACAAATCTCATTTATCCTTTCCACAGCTCTAGAGAAACTACTCATATCCCTTACACAGATTAGAAAACTGATGCTTAGAAAAGTGAAGTAGTTGGCCAAGCTCTCCCAGCTAAGTGGCAGAGCTAGGCTTCAAGCTGAAGTTCATGAGACTGCAAAAGCAATGTGCTGGCCCATGGCCTGGAGCTATTTTTAGTCCACCTTACTTTCAAGTAGCAGGAAAGTTAACTGAAGTCCCTAACTTTTGAACCAGGCTGTCTGTAGCAACCCAAAAAACAATTATTTTGCACTATGTTCTGCCAGAGATGTTATTTTTTATTATTGCTAGGACGACTCTCAGCAGGGTCACTTCATTAGCTGAAGAAAATGTTCCCTGTTGTTCCGTGAGAGCGGATCAGATGGAGAAGCATGAAAACAAACACCAGAAAGTGATTCTGTGATCCCCTCCTTTAGGGGATGGAACAGCAATCTCCTCCTTCTCTGATTCCCAGCCTCCTAAGTGATGTTTTACTCTGTAGTTGTAGAAGTGTTTTAAAAACGTTGGAAAAAGTTTTACAGGGATGCCTTCCAAAACTCTTTATCAGTGTTTCCATAACAGAGTAAATTGGAGTGTCAAACCTTTGGTGGGTACACTTAATACTGGTCTGTTTTAAATTTCCCATGTAGGAAAATAAGAGTTTGGCTAGATTGGATCTAATTGCCTGTGAGGAATAATTAAAGTGAGATTTTTTTAAAAATATTTTTAAATATTTTAATATTAAATATTTTAATATTGTATATATAGTGAGACTATAATATTTTTAAATATTTTCTTTAAGTTCTTTCTCAAATGCAAACGCTTCATCTGTTATACTGATACACCTATTGACAGATATCTCCCAAGCCATGTGTTATAGAAGTCTATCACTTTGCTCCATTTGTAAATCCGTGTTTATAGAAACCAAAGTAATTTTTTTCAAAATTACTTTTCATCACAGGTTTTGCATTTCACTTAGGATAAAATTAAAACTCATTGTGGAGGGCCAGGCACAGTGACCCCAGCCTGTAATCCCAGCATTGTGGGAGGCCGAAGTGGGCAGATACTTTGAGCCCAGGATTTCAAGACCAACATGGCAAAACCCTGTCTGTATAAAAATACCAAAATTAGCTGGACGTGCTGGTACTTATTCTGTAATCCCAGCCACTCGGGAGGCTGAGGCAGGAGAATTGCTTGAATCCAGGAGACAGAGGTTGCAGTGAGCCACTGCACTTCAGCCTGAGTGACAGAGGGAGCCTCTTTAGCCTGTTCCATCATCACATGACCTGGTGCTGCCTATCCTCATGCCCCGTTTCCTCCCTTTCCTTCCTCACTCCCCCACCCTCACTCTGTCTTTCTGTCAGGACTTTTGTATTTATTGTCCTTTCTCATCAAACAGTTGCCTTCTGAACTTCACTTGGAAGATTCCTTCTTTTTTTCAAGCTCCAGTTCAAATTTCATCTCAATTTAAAAAAAATTTTTTTTTCCTAATTCCCTAAGTTGGCCATCCTGACATCTTCAATCACATTACATTCTTTTAGTTTGTTTGTTTATTTCTTGAGATGGAGTCTCACTCTGTCACCTAGGTTGGAGTGCAATGGTGCTCTCTTGGCTCACTACAACCTCCGCCTCCCAGGTTCAAGTGATTCTCCTGCCTCAGTCTCCCGAGTAGCTGGGATTACAGCCACACAGCACTATACCTGGCTAATTTTTGTATTTTTAGTAGAGCCAGGGTTTTACCATGTTGGTCAGGCTGGTCTCAAACTCCTGACCTCATGATCAGCCTGCCTCGGCCTCCCAAAGTGCTGGGATTACAGGTTTGAGCCATTTTGCCCAGCCTGGTTTATTTTTAAAAGAACATTTTCATTATTTGAAATGATCTTATTATTTTGTTTACTTGCTTCTTTTCTGTTAAACTTGAGTAAAAACAGAACAGCATCCCCATATCTACAACAGAACTCACAATATAATAGGGTTCAAGAGTATTTGCTAAATGGATGATGAATGAATGAATTCCAATTCTGTACCTGGAATGAAATTGAAGTTTCAGATAAATACCATAAGGCACAAAAACATTCACTGAATAGTTCAAATCTACATAATTTGTGAAAGTTGACATTCAAATCAATATTATATATTCCTTATTATTGGTCTGCCTGTTATGAACAGGAATTCTAGTGTGAAGCAGGGATAAACAAAACTCAGAACTGCTTTATAGGGAAAAAATTCAGACCACATGATATCTAGCCAGAGATAGGCTTTTCCTTTTGTAAGATGCAGCTCTTCTGCATATTCAAGCAGGCCCACGCTGATTCTTTTCTTTTTTTTCTTTCTCTTTTTTTTTTTATTTTTTTATTTTTTTTGAGATAGAGTCTTGCTCTGTCGCCCAGGCTGGAGTGCAGTGGCACGATCTCTACCCACTGCAACCTCCACCTCCCAGTCTCGAGTGATTCTCCCATCTCAGCCCCACCCCTCGCCCACCAAGTAGCTGGAATAATAGGCACACGCCACCAAGCCTGGCTAATTTTTTGTATTTTTGGTAGAGATAGGCTTTCACCTTGTTGCCCAGACTGGTCTCATACTCATGAGCTTAGGCAATAAAGGTGCCTCAGCCTCCCAACGTGTTGGAATTATAGACCTGAGTCACCATGCCAGGCTGCCAGGCTGCCAGGCTGATTGTTACCAAAAGTTTCAGGATGAGCATCATAGCATTTCTAAATATGCCTTTTATACTCATTTCCTTGCCCTCTTACCTGCAAAAATAAGTCTTTTGACATTCCTCTATTTAACATCATGCCTTCCAAGAGGATGGCATTGTGATCTGATCTCTACTTGTTTTGTGTTAAGTCTTTGGGTTTTGAAAATAGAACCTGTGTCTGTCCCAGATGTCCTTTTATTGAGTTCACAGAATACAAATCGAAAAATTTTATTACCAGACAGAGGTGTTTAAAAATGAAAATCAAACCTAATACATGGACTCAGACAACTGGAATAAGGAATATAATATTTATAAAACTGAGTAGGAGGTTGCAATCATTGCTCTAAAATAAAGCATTAAAAATTAATTCAGAGCAAACGTGCCGTGCCACAGCAAAGCTCTCTTTCATTAAGGTAGCACTGCATGTTTCTCCAGAATTAGTTCCCCCAAATAGGTAAATAGCTGAGTGTTGTAAGAACAGAGTGTTCTGTAAACTACGGAAGTGCTACCTGAAGCACGATTGAGAGTTACTTTTAGTATTACAGCTTTATAGACCTTTCATTTTGAACCAATTAATTGTGATTCTTGCAGTTTTCCTCTATTTTTCTCCTTGAATATTACCAGAAAGGTTTAATTCACATGCTTACTAGTCATCTTCATTTGATTAATCCAAATGGTAGTAGATCATTTGATTAATTCATATGTAGCAGTATATTAAATCTTGATGAACTGTGGGTACCCATTGGAAGATATACTTTAAAACTTTCCATAGGTTTTTCATTTTGAAAAGTTTGTGTTGCACATATTTTAAATGACTTTTTCCTATCTTATTCCACTTCACATTATTATCATTATCCATATTGTGTTATTGTTAGTTTCCATCTTCAAGTACACTAAACAGGAAGAGAAATAAAATGCTAATGCTATTTCTGCACTTTCCATTGAGAGGAGGTTTTTATTTTTCCCAATATACACCATTCCTCTGAAGCCCTAAAATAAATAACCTTATAACCTCTAGGGCCTATTGGTTTTCTAATGATTTCAAATAAAAAGCATCCAGTTTCCATTGCACTGACAAACTGTTCAGTCCCTGGGCAAAACCTATTGGATTCCTATTAAATGAAGGGGGCAAGAAACAACAGAAAATCCAAAAAGTAGATTTGAGATGGAGTGGGGAGAGGTGGTCTCAGCTCAGCTCAGTAAATGGGTACTTAACCTTTGACCAGTGATGACAGGTCTTCTTTAGTTCTCTTAGACCAAGCACAAGCTGTTATGATTAAATAAATAAATAAAAACTGTTTAGAGCCTTACTGAATATGTCCTGGGGATTAAAGCATATGGCAGGGGTAAGGAAAAAAGATTTTCCTTATGCTAATGACCCTTGATGTCTGAAATAAATTAGATCCATTAGAGTTTATGCTCTATAAAAGAAAGACTTTAAGCACTCCAAAGTTAGTGACTCGAGACCAGCTTTTGCTCTAAAATTCAATCTGCCTGCTTATTAATTCTTAGTGAGGCTCCAGAGCAGACATGAGATGCAAAATAATAATTCTGTACTAAACCAGAATTTTAAAGGACCACAGGTTTCTTTTCCTTTTAATTAAACCATTTTTCATGCTTCCCATTTTGTTTCCCTCATTAATTTGATTTTGTTCCCATTTTTGTTTCATTTTTTTTCTTTTAAAGGTTTCATTTATCCCATTTCAACTGAACAGAGAACCCAGAATGAATATGGATTTTCTTGTAAGTTTGATGTTTGGATTTTATGTTGCTGAATAATCATTTAATGTTATTGCCCCTAGTTCAAGTTTACCTTTCTTTGGATTACAGATGTGCACACAGGAAATAGGAGCCTAATATATTCTAACATGAAAAATAAATTAGATTTTTGCTGCTGAAGAAAAGAAAGGGTCATTTCAAGACTCTGCCAGCTTTAAAATCTATCAGTCTACCATTCAAAGCTTGAGTCCCAGTAGCTGACAAAACGTATCATGAAATATGCTGATATAAGTAAAGGGCAGGGTTCAAATACTAAAAAGGAAAGGGTAGAGAAAAGACAGATCTGTAGAGCTGGAAATCATGAATGTCAAATAAGTAACTATGACCTGGTAAAGTAAAACATTAAGGATTTAGATATAATATTCTGACCAGAGTTCAGAATCCTGCAGCAGCGCATGAAATAAAAACCAGCAGAAAAGTGAAGTAAGCACTTTGAAAGCAGCACTCACCCAACCAAGAGTATTTGGGACATCACTGGTTTTCTGAAGAAAATCTGCTGATATTGACTTGATTGATGGGAAAGTGAATATTCTGAAAATTCAGGGAAGAAAATTATTTTAAAAAGAAAGCAAAATCCTTTTGGATACATTACGTTTAAACACAAAATGCTAAAAGAGATAGAGAAATTTCCAATAGAGAATTCATTTACACTGCTAATATATGAGAGTCCATGACATTAGAGTGTGGTCTCGTGAGCCACTCGCAAATGAAATGATGAGTTATTTCACCATGTAAACCACGTGGCTGTGAGTCTTAGAAGAGCTCTGTGGTTCCTACATTCTAGGAGGTGATGGGACCTACAAATTTGAAAGTTCCCTCTCCCCAAAAAATGCACATGTATATAAAATTGACCAAAAAATTCTGGGTTGTTCTCGACCACCTGAAGCACCAATTTAACAACCTCTTTTACAATGAGTGGAGCAGCTTTGATTAATTTTGCTGAACATGTTTTCATGGGTCACAGAAAACTAAAAACAGAGTCTTAAAAATGTCAAAGGGGTTCACAAGGTTTCATTTGATTTGTTTGTTTTAATTATCAGCTTCTATCACCTTTTCCAGCTGGATGAAAGCATGTTCTATGCCACCAAGGCAACATGGAACATTTATAGGAATTCTGTTCCAGATGCAAGGCCTCAGTTGACTGACACACTATGTTGGTCAAATGCTTGTTTGCCTTCTGGGGTAGCCTGACCTTTCTGATCACTGAACCAGGCCTTTATCTTACTTAGTGCTCAGGAGAGCTATATTTTATTCTAGTAATGAGTAGCTCAAATGTAAATCTCTGGCAGGGGACCGTGAGAAGCTCAGCGTTCACAGAGATAATACAGCATCTGTATCAAAAGCCTGGACTTAGAGAAGGTTATCGGCATTAACCTCTGTTCCCCAGATCTGGGTCCTCAGAAAGCACACCTTTCAAATCTGTTTGCTCCTAATATTTGCTTTGCTTAGTTACACCATTCCCACCCATCTTTCCATCGATTTAGGGGAAAGTGAGGAGAGTGCTATGGAAAGTAATTTTATGACTTACAGCGATACTTAGGAAAATATTCTCGTTCAATAAATATACAGATTTAAAACATGCTAGATATTTCTAACAGTTTCTAAAGAATTATCAGTGAATTCAAAAACCCTTCCAAACTTGTCCACCTAAAATGAGTTATAAGCTTTTTTTTCCTGTGGGTTGGGATGGTTTTAGTTCCAGTTTCTTTATAAGCCTAGTAATAAACGGACTGTTATGCTGCTCAATTATAAGACAGATTAGTGGGTGGATACATACTGAGAGAGAAAGGAAAAGAAATCAGAGATAATTTTCCACGGAAAGGCTACAGCCATTTTATATAGCTTTTGAAATAGATTTGAAATTAACCTATAAAAAAGGCAGTAAATGTCGGAAAAAATTATAGCAATACATATGTGTACTGTGGGAAATTTCTATAAGCAGCTGGTTCAGTGTTTCATTCTTCCCTCTAGCTGCTCCTGATTCAGATGATGTTGCTCTCTATGTTGGGATTGTGATAGCAGTGATCGTTTGCCTGGCAATCTCTGTAGTTGTGGCCTTGTTTGTGTATCGGAAGAATCATCGTGACTTTGAGTCAGATATTATTGACTCTTCAGCACTCAATGGGGGCTTTCAGCCTGTGAACATCAAAGCAGCAAGACAAGGTCAGTTGACATTCCACTTCACACCCTGTTACCTATGCATGTAAGCAGTTTCAAAATCAATGACTTCAGAGTCATCCCATTCAGCTAGAATGTAAGCTCCATGAAGACAGCAATTTGAGTCAGTTTTGTTCATTACTGCTTTAATGTCATGTACATACCAGATTAAAGTTAACAAGGCATACAGTTCCTCTTTTCTTTCTTTTCTGACAGATTTTTCTGTCACTTTTTAACTTCCATTTGAAAAGATTACACTGATTGTTTGACTGATTTCTTAAGTCTTTTTTTCCTTCCTTTGATAAGACATCTTGTATTGCTATGAATACAATGATTTACCAATGAACCCAACTCTTATATAGACCAAGAAAACTATAGCTAATAGTCACCTAGTGGGTACATTGTCCAATCCAGTCTGTTGAAATAGCTAAATACCTTGGGCATAATGAGTAGACTTCAAAGCAAAACATAGAATGAGCTTGGCCACTTACTTATAGCCAATAAGAAAATGGCTGGTAGTTACCTGATTGCCCTGTTTTCAGTAGAGCCTGTCTATCCACCTCCAATATTAGCCGAGCTGCTTTACTTTTGGCTCAGAAAGTGTAAGGGAGGGTCTGACTAATGTAGGTTGGCCTGAATGGAGAGCACCAATGGGATTCTTTTCTTTTTCTGACTCAGATCTGCTGGCAGTACCCCCAGACCTCACGTCAGCTGCAGCCATGTACAGAGGACCCGTCTATGCCCTGCATGACGTCTCAGACAAAATTCCAATGACCAACTCTCCAATTCTGGATCCACTGCCAAACCTGAAAATCAAAGTGTATAACACCTCAGGTGCTGTCACCCCCCAAGATGAGCTCTCTGAGATTACGTCCAAGCTGTCCCCTCAGATGACCCAGTCGTTGCTGGAGAATGAAGCCCTCAACCTGAAGAACCAGAGTCTAGCAAGACAGACTGATCCATCCTGTACCGCATTTGGCAGCTTCAACTCGCTCGGAGGTCACCTTATTGTTCCCAATTCAGGTATCTTCTTTGTTTGTGTCATGTTTTCATTAGGCCTGAAATGCTAAATGTGACCTATCCAGCCCAAATCTACTTTCAATGTAAACACAATATTACTTCAGACAAAATCAGCGAAGCCATTTCTCTTCCCCCAACCAGTTCAAAAAACACTTCCTCTAGAAATTTTATATTTACAGCTTTCTGCTGAGGTGTAGTCTGGAGCCATCACTGACCTCCTTTTCACTAAAACTTCAAAAGGCAGCATCAAGCCGCAAGTCCCACTGTTGTCATACTTTAAAAGGAAAACCTAATTATGAAATATATCATTTAGTTCATTTCCAGTTTACTACACCAAGAAATACTACAGCATACAAATTTTTTGATCATCAGAAGGCATCGTAATAGACATCAAATCTTCATTTATTAACCTAACTTTAATAAATAACTTTATCACACAGTCTTTTACCTCACAGTATGGATAACGTACACTATACTCACTCCTACCTCTGATATATGTATCCCGAATCACCAGATTCATCAGGTGTGCTCTTACACTGTTATTTGATCTTTGGTTTATTATGTAGTTTCTCTGCATCTAGAGAATGAGCCCCATAAAAGTTATGATGAGTTAAAGTTAATGACTGATACTGTTGGATTAAAAATTGATATTCATTAATCAGTATCGATAATCGGTTTGGAACCACGGGTCATGAAAGGGCTAATGGCTTCCTCTCTGAATTTATCTTAATTCTTTCGAACAAGGCTGTGAGTATTTTGTCAGTACAATAATAAAAAGCAGCTTGATTGACCTAAAGTGTTGCCATATTAAAAAAACATAATGCATATATAATCAAGGACTATACAGACCAATGAGTCTTCAAGCCCGAATATGAAATTTTATTTGATTTTTCCTGTCATTGAGTGTCTCATTTCAATGGCTTGGCAACTTTTACCCTATGTCTTTAAAAACATATTTTCACAAAATTAAAACATTTAATAAAGTATCATTTTTTCCTTTTTCTTCACAGTTTCCATAGTTAGGATCATGTATTACACAATGTTTTCCCCCTTTTTTCATTAATCCTCATGCTATTGCATGCTCTTTAAAATCATGACTTAAAATATCTTTAAAACAGTCCATTAATGAATGAATCAAAGCATACTTTAATGTTCTTCCATTGTCGAAACATTACAATTACTCTCAAAATACTTCTTTTCCCTCTGATATGTATTCTTCCTCTTCTTCCCATTTCTATACCTACCACTTTTTCATATGTGCATTGTTATAAGGGCTTCTTAAGTGGAAGGGAATGAGCTAGCATGTCTTAAATTCTTCCTATGTATAAAGCAATGGTGATCAACATATTATATTTCATTTAATGGACAAGCAATAGTTACCTGTTACTTTATACTCATGGTGCTGTTTCATCCCGATAACAAAGATGAAGGTATGTTTTATGTTTTCAATGAAAAAAATAAAAGCACTGAGGCTGCGTAGCCTCATGTGTGATCTTGCTGCTGTGCCCTCCACAAATCATTCTATACGATGA